GTGTCTGTGTATAGTCAATGAGTTTGTTAGCTAGCAGACTAGATACTGAGCCATGGGGAGCATGAAAAGATCTGTTAAAAGAAATGAGTAACAAGGTAATGAAACATTAGAACGATGGAAAAGGGTATAGAAAGATATCCAAAGCCTTGAATATGCCAGCCAGTACTGTTCCATTACTTATTAGGAAGTAAAACATTTGGAGGTCTCTTGATACCAAGCCAAGGTCTGGTAGACCAAGAACGATTGCAGCCACAGCTGCCAGAAGAATTGTGCAGCATACAAAGAAAAATCCACAGGAAACCTCAGGAGAAATACAGGCTGCTCTGAAAAAGATGATGTGGTTGTTTCAAGGAGCACAATATGACAAAAGTTGAACAAAAATGAGCTGCATGGTCAAGTTCTCAGAAAGAAGCCTTTACTATGCCAATGCCACAAAAAAGCCTGGTAACAATATGCCCGGCAACACCATGACATGCCTCATAGCTTCTGGCACACTGTAATCTGGAGAGACAAGACCAATATAGAGCTTTATGGTCACAACTGTGTTTGGAGAAGGGTTTTTTGTTTGGGGGGGGGGGGGGGGGGGTGTGTGAGGCACTGGGAATCTTGTGAAAATTGATGGCAAGATGAATGCAGCATGTTATCAGAAAATACTGGAAGACAATTTGCATTCTTCTGCACGAAAGCTATGCATAGGATGCTTTTGGATTTTCCAGCACGACGATGACCCTAAGCACAAGGCCAAATTGACCCCCCCCCCCCAATGGTTACAGTAGAAAAAGGTGGAGGTTCTGGAATGGTCATCACAGTCCTCAGTGACCTTAATATCATCGAGCCACTCTGGGGGGATCTCAAACGTGCGGTTTATGCAAGACGACCAAAGACTTTGCATGACCTAGAGGCATTTTGCCAAGATGAATGGACAGCTATTCCATCTGCAAGAATTTGAGGCCTCATAGACAATTATTGCAAAAGACTGTATGCCGTCATTGATGCTAAAGGGGGCAATACACAGTATTAAGAACTAAGGGTATGCAGACTTTTGAAAGGGGTCATTTCTTTTGTTTACTTGTTGCCATGTTTTGTTTTAGCGATTGTGCCACTCTGTTAAGACCTACAGTTGAATATGAATCCCATAAGAAATAAAAGAAATGTCTTTTGCCTACTCACTTATGTTTTCTTTTAAAATGGTGCATGCTGTAGATCACCAATTCTCCAAGAGTATGCAAACTTAGAAGCACAACTATAAAAATTCACCTTTGGGTGACTACCTTGGGACGAACCCTTTAAATGACCCTACCAACATGACAACATTCAATGCTAATTAGGTAACAGGATGTACATAATGTATTAGAGTATCTAAATAATATCCAGTGTTTAAGTTATTCTGCTACATTCTGCTTTAAAATATACGTCTACAGATCCTCTGCATACTTTGTTAAGCTATATATAAACTATACATTGGAAAACTCATTAAGCTATCGGCATCTCAGATGGTCAGCAAATGCGTATTGATTTTCCATATTTCTGCGTTGCTCTTTGCTAACAATTCTTAATGTTACATCTCAAAGGTTCCCCTCTAGTAGATGGAGAAGAATTTACTAAACATTCAAGAGAATGAAAGATAGATTCATTGTTGATAGATATTTTTTCCCCCAGCTTTGCAAACAGTTCAGCTATGTTTTTTAAACCACCTCAAGTCCAGCCCATTGTAGCCTTACTGCTACAGGGCAGCCTCTCCTGTGCAAAATCAAGTATATATAACGCGATTTTGCACTTCCGCCTAATGGGTGCGCCGCCAGCAGATCGCTTCTGCTGGTAACTGTCACAGCAGAAGCCAATCTGCAAGTTCAGGAGAATGGATCTTCGCTGGCACCTGCAGATCATCAGGCAGTGAAAAAGACACAGCTGTGCCTATGTTTATGTTGTGACAGGGGGAAGGGATCAATTGTGTGTCCCTGCAGAGCTGGGAACACGATCCCTCACTTTCCCTTGTACCAGCTCCATCTAGTGTATACCAAGCACATAGCTAGGCACACACCTAACCCTTTGGTCACCTTAGATGCTAATCCCTTGCTAACCAGTGTCATTGCTACAGTGATCAGTGCATATTTTAGCAATGATCCCTGTAAAAGTGTCACTGGTTTCTACAAAGTGTCAGTTAGTGTAAAAATGTCTGCCGCAGTCCCGCTATAAGTCGGTGGTCACTGCCATTGCTAGTATATATAAAAAAAAATATTCCAGTATTGGACCGATAGTTTGTAGACGCTACAACCTTTGTGCAAACTAATTAATATATGCTTACCAAAAGTATGTAGCAGAATACATTTTGGCCTAAATTTGTGAAGAAATGTGATTTTTACATTTTTTACTTGATATGTTTTATAGCAGAAAATAAAAAAAATATATATTTTTTCAAAATTTTCTGTCCAAAAGAAAGCTCTATGTGTGGGAAAAAAGGACACAAATTTCAGATGGGTACAGCATTGCATGACTGCGCAATTGTCAGTTAAAATAATGCAGCGCCGTATCGCAAAAAATGGCCTGGTCAGGAAGGGGGGTAAATCTTCCGGAGGTCAAGTGGTTAATCATATTTTGTTTAATAACTAAAAAAAGTGTGCAGATGATCACCATTTTGTTGAAGTGAACTGGAGCCCATCTTGTCTGTCTTGCACCAATCTTTCCACATGCTGATCTGACTGACATAGATTTGTGGGGCATTGGAACAGTACTATTTTAATTTCATTATTCTATTTTTGTATCCTCTTTTTTTATTAGAATATTGATGTTTAAAAAAATGACGCTTCATTCATCTCCATGGACCGCAGTATGCTGCAACAAGCTGAATTGTGTAAATCAGCCTCTCAACCTGGGTGCCTTGAGGTTCCTTCAGGGGTGCCTTGGCAAAAGGTCTAAAAATTGCCCAAACCTTGTATACAAGCCAGCGGGTGGAATAAGCCTGCCTTTTAGTTACACAAAGCCACAGGTTTCCATCGTGCATCATTACAACTTTCTAGTCGCCGGGGTCCTGACAACCAATGACATCCTCAGTTGATAAGAAGGATGTTAGCTGCTTGCACAGCATCATAGTTTGACCTTCCCCTCTCCATCAGTGCTGGGGTCACATTAGCTCAGTGATGGAGAAGAGAAACACTGGAATACTAGTCAGTACCAGTGTGCAAAAGAGTATTTGCTTTGGAAGAATAAATCACCTCTAATGTTGGGTGTCCTACATGTGTGGATGTTGCTGCGTTACATAAAACTATTAGAATAGTTTTTCCCTATTTAGAATGGGGTGCCCTTTTAAAATTATGGACAGTCTTGAGGCTCCCCATTTTAGAATGGAATGCCTCAAGACTGTCCGAAATTTTAAAGGGTGCCTTGACTGAGAAAAGGTTGAGAAACACTGGCGTAGATTAATTAAGGCAGGTCAACAGACATGGTGTTAACGAGCCTTAAGGATCAAAATATGACATTGCAGGTGAGAGATGTGACTATTGTGGTTTAGAACCCGTTAATGGGGTTCCATAATTCATTGTTCAGGTTCACTAATTATTACATTTGTTTCTTTTTACTGGAGAAGCTAGAGCTTGTTGTGTTCCCAGAGAAACTGCATACAGAAACCTGAGCCATAGGCATGACAATGGCTAAAAATACCATACATGGTGGTTAAAAGTTAGGAAACTAACTGAGCCCTAAAGTGCCCATATGTTTCATATACTCCTTATGGTGTGCCAGAATGAAGGACTGGATCTGTAATGTCAGGTTTGGCGGGAACTCCAGTTTAGTAATAATGTACTAACTCTTCACAATGGGCTACAGGAGATGTGAGTTGGGTTGCTAACATCTTCACTTCACAATCAGTGATATAATTCTGGGGCGTTGATGGGCTTTTAGATTAGAAACCAACACCACCCAAAAGTTATGTTTTAGTTTTTCCATTGTTGCTAGCAAATTTAAAAAGGGATTATAAATCTATGAGGTCTGAGTGTGCAGGGAGTGGAGTAACCATTACACAGGACTACGGTGGGGGGGGGGGCTAGTGGATTAGAATTTCTCATAAAGGTACAATAGTCCCTTAAGTGTATGTAAACCCTAACAATGAACATTTCTCATTTGCTCCCTTTTTATCTGGTAAATATTAAACCTGTTCGATAAGAGGACTATTCCTGTCAGTAATCCAGTGACTTTCCTGTGTACTTCAGTAGTCTTATCAGCCTTGTCCAGTTCTTCCCTTGGGAATGTGAACTACAGAACAACTGCGGAGGTGTTCTGCTGTCCTAACAAACTAAGGTGACAACACTGCTCCCTATTGATACAGTACAGTGAGTGAGTGTGGTCACATGTGAAAATGTGTTACTGACAGGATCTTCAGGTGAAAATCAATAAAAATGTTGTAGGAAAGAAAACAAATGCAGCCACCACATTTGGGGCTTGTTCACACCAGTTTTGGTGCAAGAATGCATGTTTGGAAATGGAATGCCTTCTGCATAGGCACATAAGTACCTTTAACTCTTAACCTCCTCGGCGGTATGATTATTTCAGATTTTTGGTGCTGAAAGCGGTACCATTTTTTTGCATGGAAATATGTAGTTTTTTTTATTGTAGGCCTGTAATTTTTAGGAATAACTCACTGAAATCTGTCCGAACAAGAGTCTAGTAAACATCCCGGGTATGATAAAATTTGAAACACAAAATCATAAATTATAATTTAATAAATAATCATAAAAAATAATAATATAATAATAATACATTTAATTCAATAATATAATCAAACCAAAAACACTGAAATTTGAAATATAGCGCCAAGTTCGCACATCGCTGAGCAAAGTCGCAAAATCGTTTTCAGTGTCTGATGAGAAATTTCCCCCCACGAATCATTATCACTCAATTCTGCAAGTGGTTCTAGATTTACTATCGCTGTTCTCTAACTGGTCTAAAACCGCTTTTGACCTAAAGGGATGCTTTTTGGACGCCATGGACGTTTCTAAGTTTCCAGGCAGAAAGAACTGTAAAAATGCAGGCAGGGCACAGGACAAAGCACTCGGGACAAAATGTATGTGAAATGGTTTGAAACAGCAATGTTTTACTATGTAAAATTAGTTTTGAAAAAAATAAAAATTTGAAAAATTTTCAAATTTCCTGCTGGTTCCGGCGCCCGTACGTCCCGACATCACAGGGACCGGAGCACAGAAGCCGGATGCCGGCATCGGCCGGAGGAGATGGCCGGGGACGCTGCAGGGGACACATCGCGGGAGCGAAGGACAAGGTAAGCTCTGCAGGGAATCCCTATGCAGCGCCGCATGGTAAGCGCGAGTGTAGCTCGGGGTTACCGCTTTTGGTACAGAAACTTTACCCCGAGCTACACTCGGGAATACCGCCAGGGAGGTTAATGGCACCCCACATTCAGCAAATTTTTCCGGCCACCAAACCATAGGGTAACGCATCATCATGTGGTTTGGTGCAACGCAATTTTAAAAATGGAGCCTGCACAACTTTTTTTTAAATGAATGGGCTGGCCAAATGGTACAAAATAAACATGCAGGCTCAGACTCACCAAATGGTGTGAATGAGCCCTTAAAGTGGTTCTAAATGCAGTAGGTTTTTTACCTTAATGCATTCTACGCATTAAGGTAAAATAACCTGCTACATGCAGCTCCCCCCTCAGCCTCCCCTAAATACTTACCTGAGCCCGATCTCAATCCAGTGAAGTGCGCAAGAGCAGCGTCTCTCTCTCTTCATCGGACAGAGAGGCAGCAGCAGGAACCATTGACTCAGCCAATGAGGAGAGAGCAAGGGGCAGGGTGGGGCTGAGCCACGCTGTGTGTGTCAATGGACACAAAGAGCCAGCTCGAGAGGGAGCACGCAAACAGCTTGCAATGGGGGGGCACTCAGCAGGGGCCAGGAGCGACAGCAGGGGACCCAAAAAGAGGAGAAGAGCACAGAGCAGGTAAGTATAAGACGTTTGTTATTTAAAAAAATAAAAAGTTTGCCTTTAAAGTGGAGTTAAACCCTCTTATACTTTACAAACAAGAAAGCTGTCATCTTGGCCTCTGTTTGATCTACAGTTGCCATGGTGCTGCACATTTGATCAGTTATAAGACCAGCCACTTAATGGCTTGACAGTTCAGTTGAGAGTACAAGCAACTGTGACAGTTATCATTCATGACATATGTGACTATTCTGCTTTAAGGTCTGACAAGCTGCCATATATTACATTACATTCTTGGGTTTAGATATGTTTTAAGGTAGAACTCCAGGCAAGCAGCTAATTACATGGATGAAATAAATCTATGCTTACTGTTTTACCTGCCTACTGATTTGTAGTTTTGAACAGTCTTTTACACAAAAATGTACAGACAGTCCAGTACAGAAGACTTGGCACATTCACACACCAGGCTCTTTACGTATATAATAAGGGCTGACAAATAATTATGAAAACCTAATTAATTCACAAGAACAAGTAACACACAAATAAAAAGCAACCCAAACAGAAGCCAGTTTCGCTCAGTAAATTTTAATGATCTACCTACAGATGCATCTTTTTCTGATGAGATTTTTTTTATTCTCTAGGCAATTAGCGGTAACACTCATTTAATAAAATTAGGCATCTACGAATTGAATTCTTGAGAAAATAAACATGTTCTTTGGTGAAAAAGGAAAAAAAAACATTTACTGGCTTCCTGCCATTTCCATAGCAGAAAAAGATGTTTTTTTTCCCCTGTAATTCAAGAAGATCTGAAGGGTAATAAAATGCCAGCCGTGAGACCAGAGGAGGAATCGCTCTTCCCGTTTAATTGGAAAAACTAAATTAGTGCAAGGCTATGCTGTACACAAATTTCTATTATTTTCACAGCTCACATGTTAGTTTGAGAGAAAAATAAATATTTCTGTATTTGTTACACACATATTTCTTTCTAAAAGGAGAAGTGACTTGGTAAATGCTGTTTCATGCTATATTAATGAGATTTTTTTTGTTTTGTGACAGGTAATATTATCTTTTTAAACATAAAAGTTAGAGATTTTCCACCTTTAACTGGAAAATATATTTACATAAAGCTCCCTTATCTCCCAATTATAGTCAATGTGCAGCTTTCAGAGCAATAACATCCCTAGAGCTACACCAGTACTCATCAATGAAATCAGTCTAAAAACTCAATACAGAACAACAAAGTTCCATTTGCAGTATCCTCGAATTGTCTCTTTCGCTATAAATACACTATATGGTCTAAAAATTGTGGACGTCCAACCATTAAACCTTTAAGAAGTTGATGGACATCCCACTCCAAAACCATAAGCAATAACATGGAGTTAGACAAATGGTCAGAGATCCTCCTGCGCTATGAAATGAAAGTATACAACCTAGTCTAAAGCTGCCAACACTCAAAAACTGATACCAAAACAGTGTCAATAAATCATAAAAAAAATAGTATAGCGCTCTTAACATATAAAAAAAATATGTGCCTAATACACAATATTGAATCCTAAAATAAATAAATAAATATATTAAATTCCTCCATAAACAATAGTGACAAACAAATAAATAGTGCCAGACTAGGATTCCAAAAAGAAATCTATCACCCACTGAAAAAATACGTGTACCCACATACACATGTTTTATACAAATAATAAGTGACTAATAAATAACACAAATATATATATAGTGCACACACACCTTTATATTAGGCAATAAAAAAATTCCAAAGAAGCTTTATCCAATAAGGGAACTCCACATATAATTCACAGTGCTCACACAGTGCAAAAAAGTGTCCTCTCTGTTGGAAAATAATCAATGTCCTTTGTGGAAATAAATAGAATCATGCAATGTGCAATAGTGATAAATAAATTAGTGATTGTGTAAAAAAAAAACTCTTCGCCTATTAGCGGCTAGATTGCCTCCTCACCTCCTCCCAATGACCCCAAGGGGCCAACAGGCTTGCAGGATCACCCTGGATCCTTGATTTATAATGGCCAGCAGCTTCCTTCCTTCCCTGGATCTCCTTAATGGGGCTCCTATTGCCCTGATCAACCAAGGTGGTTCTGAAGGATAATAGCTCACCAATCCTTTTCTCATCAGCAGTTAGAGCAGTCTTTATATCACTATTGCACATATTTGTGTTAATTATTAGTCACTTATTATTTGTATAAAACATGTGTATGTGGGTACACGTATTTTTTCAGTGGGTGACACTATTTTTTTATGATTTAATAACATGGAGTTGCCCCTACTCCAACAGTTTGGAGAAAGGCCCTTTTCCATTCCAGCATGACTGGGCCCCTATTTACAAAGCCAGCTCCCTATAGACAGGGTTTGAGGAGTTTGGTGTGGAGAAACTCAAGCGGCCTGCAAAGAGCCCTGACCTCATCTCTACTGGACACCTTTGGGATGAATAGAAAAACCGACTGCAAGCCAGGTGTTCCTGTCCAACGTCAGTAACTGAACTCAAAAATTCTTTGGGCACACTCCAAAATCTTGTGAGAAGCCTTTTCAGAAGAGTGAGCCTGGGTTCACATATGTGCGGTGTATCGCATGTGATACGCAGAGGAACTGTACCGCATTCCTGTGCAAATTGCATGCGATTTGTGTGTGGGTGCGATTGGAGCCATACATTCGCACCGCACCCGCACCAAAAAGGTGCAGGACCCTTTTTTTGGGTCTGCACTAGAATTGGATCGCATGGTTATTCACACCTATCCGATTCGATTCTGCACATTCTTTTGCAGGCCGCTTTCGGGGTGTTGTTAACATAAACACCCGCAGCGGTTCGCATTAACGGGGTGCGATTCTGATGCAGTGTGGAATTCACACTGAAACCACTGTGAATTCCGCACCGCATCAGTGTGAACCCAGAGCTGAAGGTTGTTAAAGTCTTAATGGGGTTTGGGGTGTGTGGAAACAACTCCATACTAATGCTTATGGTTTTGGAATGGGATGGCTTTTGTAAAGCTTTCCCGAAGAGGAGGGGGGGGGGGCGGGCGACTATGGTTTTGGACAGGATGTCCAATTTGTGCCATGCTACACCATAAATTCGGATGTAACATGGTCCGAAAAGTGGAGATAGCCTTTAATATGTGCAATTAATGTAATACACTTGGGGCAAAGTGTAAAAAAAAAAAAGAAAAAAAGTTTTATGATAAAAGAAGTCTCCAAAAGCAATTTGTACCTGAAACGTAGCTTTTTATCTAATTCTGAAAGAGAGCAAGGGGTCCCCTGGAGAGAAGACTGAGTTAGCCTTGATCTCCACTGATGAAACAAACAGATTTGAGAGACCAATAAGACATGTGTCCAGACAAAAATCAGCTTAACCTGCCATAAAATAGGTTCTGCGCTCTTTTAAAGCATTTATACATAATTGCATTTCCTCTGCGGCATCTAAAATGCCGATGTCATCAAATATGATTGGCTGCCAAAGACTGGACTTGAAAGACGATCGCTGGGGGAAGACGCTCGCATTTGCATGGAACTGAAAGACACTAGCTTCTAAAATACCTGAAAGACTAGGTTGGAAGATCAGTCAAAACTAATATGTTATAAAGTGTGACAAGGTCAGTATGTCTTGGTTAACCTAACTGGTGGGTTCCTAAGGAAAGTAACAGCTGGATACTACGTTTCACTGTCATACTATACAAGAAGGGAGATGCAAAGGGAGGGTATGTTTTTCTGTCCATACGCCATTAAGAAAATGTTTATGCATTCTTTATGGTAGGGGTCTCAGTAAAAGGGCTACAGCATATATTTTACATATATTCACAGGACATTCCCCATTATATTCTCTTCAACAAGAGAACCCTACCCCTTACATCAGGGTCCCCATTCCAGGCCCCCACTTACAACAAGGTTTCCATCAGAGCCCCCCTTACATCAGGGTCCCCATAAGAGCCCCTTTGCTTACACCAGGGACTCCAAAGTCCCTCACTTACATCAGAGTCTCCATTAGAACCCCTTGCTTACAGTAGGGTCCTCATCAGTGTAACTCATATACATCAGATTCCCATATAAGCCCTCCGCTTACATAGGAGTTTCCAATCACAGCCCTTGTACATCAGAGTCCCATGCACCCCCGTAAAATTTACAGATAGATTGTAGCAGCAGGGCAAGAGTCGGGAGCCACAGCAGATCTCGATGGAGAAAGATATGTCCTTCTGTGAATGCCAGGGCAAGCACACTGTTGGATGTGAGAATGCCGGTGGGGAGAAGCGGAGACCATAGGCAGCCTCTGCTGACCTGAATCCTCAGTCTGTGCACATTGAATATACGCCACTGACCCTAGGTGCATATTAGAATAAAATCTTTCAGCGGCCCAGATGCGTGTGGGTATTTGGGGACCCCTTCTGTAGGGTCAATAAAGA